CTAAGCTCGTAGGGGTCATGGGGTTCTCTGAGTCGTAGAACTCATAGGGCTCATATGTTTCGTAGGGGTCGTAGGGCTCATGGGGCCCATAGGGGTCTCAGGGGGCATATGGGTGGAGGGTTCATGTGGCTCGTGAGGCTCACCAGGTGCAGAGGACTCGTGGGGTTCGAAGGTTCACAGGGGCCAGAGAGTCCATAGGCATCCCAGGGCTCATAGGGCTCGTAAGGCTCACATGGGTCGTAGGGCTCGAAGGGCTCATTGGGCTCATAGTTGTAGGGCTCGTAAGGCTCGCAGGGGTCGTAGGGCTCGTAGGGGTCGTCGGGCTGGTAGGGCTCATAAGGCTCTTAGGGCTCATGGGGCTCGTAGGGGTGATGGAGCTCGGAGGTGTCATAGGGCTCATGGGGATCATAGGGCTCGTGTAGGGCTCATAGGGCCCGTATGGATGGTAGGGCTCGCAGGGATCATGGGGCCTGTAGGGCTTACGGGGGCCACGGAGCTCATTTGGCTTACAGGGCGCATAGGTTTCACGGGCCTCGGAGGTGTCATAGGGCTCATGGGGCTCATGGGGCTCAGAGGGCTCGTAGGGGTCGTAGGTCTCGTGGGGCTCATAGGGAGCGTAGGGCTGATGGGGCGTGTAGGGCTCACAGGGCTCACGGCAGTCATGAGACTCTGTGCGGTGTTGTTGTGGCCTCCTGTGGCCGTCTTGGGGGGCTTTTGGGAGCCGTTGGGGACACTGACGGCTCTTTGTTGGGCCGTCTTGGGGCTCTCGTGGGCCGTGCGGAAGTGCTTTGGGCCGGGTAGGGGACCTCATTGAAGCATCTGTGTGGCCTCCCGGGGGGGGGCTCTTGAGCTCATTTGTTGGGCTGGGAAGGCGTCGTCGAGATCTCTTGGGGCTCTCTGGGGCCCTCGGAGGGCTCTTTGGGGGGCCCCTCGGCGGCTCTGGGGCCATATTTGGGGGAAGAGCTCGAAAGGTCAGTTCCGTTGGTCCTTCTTGGGGCCATCTTGGGCCGTCTTGCGGGGCTTCTTGGGTGGTCTTAGGCCGTCTTGGGGCCATCTTGGGGCCATCTTGGGGCCCTCTTGGGCCGTTGTGGGGCCTTCATGGGAACCACTTCCGGCGTCTTGGGCAATCTTGGGGGCCTGTTTGACCGTCTTGCGTGGTCGAGAGGTCGAGAAAGCGAGCCCGTTGAAAATCATGAAAAACCTATAGGAAACTTACGAATTTTGGCTTCCGGGGCCCGCTTGGGGGTGACCTATGGGCTCTCGTGGGGCGTCTTGGGGGCCTTTTGGGCCGTCCGGAGACCATCTTGGGCGTGTTGGAGCGGTCTTGGGCCGTTTCGGTGCTCCGCGGGACCGTCTAGGGAGCGATCTTGAGCTCGCCAGGGCGGCTTAGGATGACCGAGAGGGGCCTCCGGAACCGAATGCCCGAATTTCCCGCCGATGGGAGCGCCCAGGGCCGAATTTATGTACGGGGGGGGGGTCACCCGCGGCTTTCCGATATAAGAATATTCGAAGAGGAATATATATATATAGAGAGAGAGAGAGAGAGAGAGAGAGAGAGAGAGAGAGAGAAAGAGAATTACCCTGGCGACGTACCCAACCCCTGCGCAAAAGCGGGGCGCAAATAGTTTAGGATACTTTATAAGGGGGCGATGACGGAGCGAGGGTTACATATGTCTGCAGACGGAATTCGGGAGACTCGCAGGACACTGGCTACAGGAAAAGGGCTTGATAAAGCTGATGATTTACAATTCCTGAGCACTCCTAGCCACTTCGAAAACGGGGATCACAGCAGGCCTCGAAAGTGGCGACAGGTTCACAGATCGCAGCCCCGCAGGGATGGCGAGGTCTCATTTGAATCTGCCCGTGGCCCTCACTGTGCTGGGCCCCCCAGCAGGCCTCGAAAATGGCGGCAGTTTCGCAGATCGCAGCCCCCCAGGGATGGCGAGGTCTAATTTGAATCCGCGCGTGGCCCTCACTGTGCTGGGCCCCCCAGCAGGCCTCGAAAATGGCGACAGTTTCGCAGATCGCAGCCCCCCAGGGATGGCGAGGTTTAATTTGAATCTGCGCGTGGCCCTCACTGTGCTGGGCCCCCCAGCAGGCCTCGAAAATGGCGACAGTTTCGCAGATCGCAGCCCCCCAGGGATGGCGAGGTCTAATTTGAATCGCGCGTGGCCCTCACTGTGCTGGGCCCCCCAGCAGGCCTCGAAAATGGCGACAGTTTCGCAGATCGCAGCCCCCCAGGGATGGCGAGGTCTAATTTGAATCCGCGCGTGGCCCTCACTGTGCTGGGCCCCCCAGGCCGGCCTCGAAAATGGCGACAGTTTCGCAGATCGCAGCCCCCCAGGGATGGCGAGGTCTAATTTGAATCCGCGCGTGGCCCTCACTGTGCTGGGCCCCCCAGCAGGCCTCGAAAATGGCGACAGTTTCGCAGATCGCAGCCCCCCAGGGATGGCGAGGTCTAATTTGAATCTGCGCGTGGCCCTCACTGTGCTGGGCCCCCCAGCAGGCCTCGAAAATGGCGACAGTTTCGCAGATCGCAGCCCCCCAGGGATGGCGAGGTCTAATTTGAATCCGCGCGTGGCCCTCACTGTGCTGGGCCCCCCAGCAGGCCTCGAAAATGGCGACAGTTTCGCAGATCGCATCCCCCCAGGGATGGCGAGGTCTAATTTGAATCTGCCGCGATTACCCTCTATGCTGGACCCCCCAGCAGGCCTCGAAAGTGGCGACAGTTTCACAGATCGCAGCCCCCCAGGGAGGGCGAGGTCTAATTTGGATCTGCCGCGATTACCCTCTATGCTGGACCCCCCAGCAGGCCTCGAAAGTGGCGACAGTTTCACAGATCGCAGCCCCCCCCCCCAGGGATGGCGAGGTCTAATTTGAATCTGCCGCGATTGCCCTCTATGCTGAGCCCCCCAGCAGGCCTCGAAAGTGGCGACAGTTTCACAGATCGCAGCCCCCCAGGAATGGCGAGGTCTAATTTGGGTCCGCGCGTCGCCCTCACTGTGCTGGGCCCCCCAGCAGGCCTCGAAAGTGGCGACAGTTTCACAGATCGCAACCCCCCGCAGGCAAGACAGAAAGAGGCAGGAAAGAGGCGGGAGGCGGGAGGAGGAAGGACGCGACCACACTGCTCTATTCAAAACGAATACCCAACCAAGGAGGGTTGGGAAAAAGATATAGATGGACGCCCCACACCTCCAGTATCATACCTTTCCCCTTTCCGTTCTCGTCCCCCTCGGCGTTTCTTTCTTTGCCGTGGTCTCTATTCTCAATTATTCTCGCTTCGCGTATCCCCACCAGCCCATCTCACAGCAACAGCTCTCGCGAAGCATGTCGACAGTTGTGTTTTTCAGGCGTGTGTCCGCTGGGCTCCGTATATCTCCCCTGTCCCTCCTTCCTCCCGCCTCCTTGTGAATCCTCCTTGTGGGGGGAGCGGGAGAAGGACGAGGCGGAGGAGGAGGGAGAGAAAGCGCTCCTCGTGATTTGAGTCGTTTGGGGTTTCTCGTCCTGGTGTGAGTCGTTCGGGCCCTTCTTCCTGGTGTGAGTCGTTCGGGCTCTTCGTGGTGTGAGTCGTTCGGGCTCTTCGTCCTGGTGTGAGTCGTTCGGGCTTCTCGTGGTGTGAGTTGTTCGGGCCCCTCATCCTGGTGTGAGTCGTTCGGGCTCCTGGTGGGGCCTCTTGGGAGCCTCTTGGGGGCCTCCTGGGGCCTCTTGGGCGCCTCTTCGGAGACTCTTGGGAGCCTCTTGGGAGCCTCTTGGGGGCTCTGGGGGCCTCGTGGACGCCTCTGGGGTGCCTCGTGGGAGCCTCTGGAGGCCTCTTGGGGGCGGCTTGGGAGCCTCTTGGAGGCCTCTTGGGAGCCTCCTGGGGGCATCTTGGGGCCTCTTGGGGGCTTCTTGCGACCTCCTGAGAAGCGCAAATGAGCGCTACCCCCTCAGAAGGACAAAATGAGCCCAAAACCTTCGTACAATCAATGATTATGAGAACAAGGAGCAGCAGCGCTGGCCCCTCAGACGGCCAAAATGGGGCCAAAACCGTAGTAAAATCAAGGATTTTGGCTTCAGAGAAGAGGAGAGCATTTTTTCGTGGTCCCCCCGACGGGGCCAGAATCCTCGTGAGGGTCGTCGTTTTTTGGCCCTCCCAGGAGTCGAGAAAGACCCCTCTGACCACCCGCGGGACGACCTCTCCAGGCCCAGGGGGAGGGGGGAGGGGGAGGGGTAAACCCCTCCCCGAAGGGGAAGAAGGGGGGTTGGGGGGTTGAGCTCTCTAAACCACTCACGCCCAAAGGGCTGGTGGGATTATCCAGGGAAGCCTCCAGGCACACCTTGAAGCTCGCCGCGAGCATGCCAGTGCTAGCATCTCCTCTCGCGGGTGCGCTGCGAGAGCAGCTGGCACCTGCTCCGCGGCCTCTGCATCGGGCCGCTGCGGGGGATGCCCCAGGGCGGCGCCACGGTTCACTGATGTGCCGATGCGGGCAGACCAAAGCGCATTGGAAGTTAGGGCTTGTTGCCCCGCTGTGCAGACGGAGCGTGCCACGCCTTGATCACCACAGACCCGCTTCTTTTCAGTCGGGGACCCCTTCTTCCGCGCCAGGGGGATGGTGTTTTTTCCCACCCGTGTTCGTTTTGCGGCCCCTCTCGCCATTGTGAAGCGGGGCGGCATTTACAACCCGCTAGGCCAGAGCAGACAGACTTGTCCGGACTGTTGCGTGCGCTCTCTCTCTCTCTCTCTCTATCTCTCTCTCTCTCTCTATCTGTATTTCTTTCCCTCTCTCTCCCTCTCTCTCTCTCTCTCTCTCTTTCTCTTTCTCTTTCTATCAAATTAACTGTTTCTCCATTTCTCCCTCTCCCGCCCTCTCTCTCTCACTCTCTCTCTCCCTAGTTTTGTTTCATTCTCTCTCTCTCTCTCTCTCTCTCTCTCTCTCTCTCTCTCATGCCATTTACAATCCTCTCTCTCTCTCTCTCTCTTTCTCTCTTTTCTCCTATTCTCATTCCCGCACCTTCACGAGGCCAACATGAGGAAGTTGTGCACTTCCGCGAACCTCAAGTCTTGGCTGGGGCACGAGGATTTTCGTGACGACGGGCCATGCGCAGGTCATTGGGTAAGAGGGCGATGGTGGTGATGATGATGATGATGATGACGGTAGTGGTGGTGCTGATGTTGATGATGATGATGCTGATGATGATGAAAGTGAAGAAGATGATGATGATGCTGTTGATGATGGTGATGGTGATGGTAATGGTGATGGTGATGAGGATGGTGGTGATGGTGATGATTATAATGATGGTAATGATGATGTTAACGATGACGATGATGATGACGATGATGATGATGATGATGATGATGATGATGATGATGATGATGATGATGATGATGATGTTGGTGCTGATGGTGATGATGATGCTGATGATGATAACGATGACGCCGACGTCCTACACGTCCTCGTTCTCGCCCAGTGACCACGGCAACGGCATCGACACCATCCCAGACAATGACGAGCCTCCTGTCTCCTCCCATGTCGCATGGTGGAGTGACGGGGGGGGACATCCCCGCGACCACGCACGAATTTGCTACTCCTGTGCCTGAAGTATCTCCTGACGGTCCACAGTCTCCTATGTCGCCTGGGGCAGCGACGGAGGTGGGGGCATCTCCCACGACCCCACATGGACAAGCAGTCCTCGTGCCTGGTGGAGCTCATGCATTTCCTGAGTCTGTTATGTGTCCTGGGGGTGCGACGGAGGTGGGGGCATCTCTCGCGACCTCACATGATGGCGTCGCGGTGTCAGCGGGACCCGCTCATGCACCTGGGAGAGATCGTGCGTATGACACCCTAGATGTTCCGCAACGCAATGCCGCGGTCGACGACATCGCAGGGATCCAGCCCCTGCATGAGAGCGGCACGAAAACGGGGATTCAGCCCCCGCCCGAACCAGAGTTCCCAACTCATGCTGTTCTGGAGACTTCGGTACTACTCCCTGGTGCTGCTCTTGTCTCAGGGCCCATCAACTACGACATCACAGACGACATCGAGGGCACGAACGCCGTCTCCTCCGGCATTCTGGCCACGAGCGCCCCCCATGGTGGGGAACTTCCCCGCGACCTCACACGAACTCGCTGCCCCGTGCCTGAAGGTGCTCATGACGACCCGCACTCCCTGTGGTTGCTGAACCCCTGTCAGCCTCTCCTCCTCCTGCGCCTTTGTCTGTACTCCCATGTGCGCCGCCATGTCGGCTCACAAGGGCCCTTGGGCTATCATGGCGCGCCGGTGACGGACGCGCCCGCGCCTCCGTAAAAGGAAAGAGAGCGTGCTCTCTTCTAGCACGGGCCCCCCTATTTGTACCTCGTGTCGCTCTGTATCCACACAGTCACACGCGTACAAGTCACAGTGGTAGCGGAGCCTGTGGTTGAGTTCCACGAGGGGAGTCAGGACGACCCTTCCTGTGATTCGATTCTTGGGTGGCATACTCCATAGTATTCTCCCATTCTTCCCGCTCTCTACCCTATTGCACCAAGCGCCGCCATGGATTCTCCAGACGACGGTCGGCTTCAAGAAGATGATTTTCCAGTTGATGCGTGGTTGCAACCAGATCAGGATCCTTGGGCAGGAGCTGGAGAAGACGTCCTTTGGGAAGGTGATGACAATGTGGGCCGGTCAGCTCAGGATTGGGCCCGTTGGTTAGCACAGCCCTGGATGGAGACACGGCCCAATACGCGACAATTTTCTTCATGTTGGACTGGGCGGAGACGTGGCTCGCCTGCTGCACCAGATCGGCGGAACACGCCTCTGCGAGGACAGGCTATGCGTTTTATTCCTCCTGCTCCGACCCATCGCCAACGGGGACAATTTCTCGAATTTCTGGAGGCATCAACGGTACCAAACGACCTACCTCCCACCTGGGATGGAAGAGAGCCAGATATTTGCCTAGACCCCTACATGACAGAACTGCAGATGTGGCTCGCTAGTATCAGCATCTTGAAAGCACAACGTGGATACTTCATCTACCGTTATGCGAAACACGACCTTAGGATCGTCATTAACGAACTTATTCGGGACAAGCTGTCTTCCGAGGACGGCGGGCAGGTTGTGATGAAACACATCCAGAGGACTTTGCCGCCGAAGGCTTGTGAGGAGCTTTTCTATTCAGAAGACACCAAGCGTAAGCGAGAGGAATCCCCGGTCATCTATATCGCGCGTAAGCGCGTGCTCTTCCGAGAACTCGAGAAGCGCGTGACCCTGTCTGGGCGATTGAAAGGGCACGTGGAGAGCATACAAGCTTAATGACGCTGTCTGGGATACGGTTGAGCACTTGACAGTGCGCGAACGAGCTCGACGAGCGAGGGCGCCGGCAACGCGCGGGTTTCGGCGTTTTCCAAGCAGCCCCTCTCGGAGCAGACGATGCCCCGCGTGGCGTTTGCCAACGGGGACCTACGATCCAGTCTGGAGTCAGTACCTTAGCCTTTCCTATCTTTGCGACTGCCGGCACTGGCGGCCAGGTTGTAATTGGACTTCAAGTTCAGATGGGTTTTGGCCCAGTGGATGCCAGAGCTCAGCATGGAGTACGCGGCAAAGATCAGTTCGACAAAATGGTGAAACATCTAGGTGATGCCTGCGGTCTGAAACCCACGCATATACCTACTGTAGAACTTGATGTCATGGGCGCTTGAGGATCTAACAATATTCTTTCTAATTGGGCAGTGCCTATTGCCGCGGCAATGGGCTGCGGCGCTCTCGCGGTGCATTTGATTGCCTGTGTGCCCTTGCACCCCCGGTGGAGATGCTTAGGCAGCTTGGCGTGGTTCTTGATTTACCGGGCGGCGTCGTAACTTGGAAGGCGCTCGACGGCAGCCAGTCGAGAGCGCGCGAGGCAGGGGCGGGCAACCACATTGCGACCCACATGTTTGATTTATTGTCCCGAGAAAGGTTGGCAGAGAAAGAAGAACATCAGGGCAGTCTCTCCCGGGGCTCAGGGGCGCTGCCAAGTTGCCGAGCCCGAGGACGCCGCGTTCTATGCGAATCCGATGGCACCCTGGCTCAAACCTGTCTTTCCCCGCTGGCCGCCCCCCGACGCCCCGCGCAATGTTGAACCGCGCGGGGCGCGTCCTCGCCGGGGAGGAGCCACAGCCGGAACCTCCGACGAGGCCCAGTCAGCCCGCGGTGACCCTAGAGAAGCGGACGTGGACATGGGAGTAGTTATGTCTGAAGTTGTTCCCCATTGGACCGCGCGGCTACGAAGCGCCGCGCGGGGGCCCGCGCAGGTGCCAACGCCTGCAAAAACCTGCCCGGGGGCGCCGGGGGCCTGGGTCAAGAGGCGGCACCATCCACGCATCGCCCCCGCGACCCGCGACCTTTCTCCCGATCCCTGAAGATCGGCAGCGGGGAGTGGTTCGCGGTGGGCAGGCGGCGAGAGCCCGGCGGCTCGGGCGCCGAGAAGACCGGCCGGGCTCTGTGCGCGCATCCCGAGAAGGCCATGCGCCATCGGGGCAGCAACAAGACCTCGTGGTGAACGTGCGACGACTGCCAGATGCCCTGGACGAGGCCCCCGATCGACGGCATCATCAGCACTGGCGCCCCAGACCACATGGAACGAGCGACATTCGGGAGGTCTGCGGGCTACGCCTTCAAGTCTACGAGATGGACTTCCAGCGATGCGAGCGGCGCATGAGGACTCGCGAGTCGGGCGGCCCAGTATCGCATCAACAATGCCGACGCTTGGCCACGCGCACGGCCGAGCGCGAGGTGCGCGAGAACATTGCCGAAGGGGGCGGCATCGAGACGGTCGCGGAGGATCCCGACGTCCGATGGGTTCGCGGGCAGAAGATGTTTTCAATGGTCGCGGGGCACATGTCCGAGTGCATCAGAAACCCCGCGGCGGCTTTTTGAAGCCGACCGACTCCGTCGGCCCCCCATCTGCAGATGATTTTACCAACGGGCGGATGACAGAGGTCGTCTACTCCGACGGCACTACCGAATGTATTCAGGATGCGTGGTCTGGGCCGTCTTCCGCCCGTAGTTTGGACAAGCAATGGACTGGCCATGCTCTCTTTTATCGCAATGCTGCCGCTAACATGATGTTCGCTGGCGCGTTGCTGGCAAGCAGCTGTCCTCAAAGTACTTGTCTCAGTCAGGTTGGGCAACTCATTTCTCCAGATGCTACCGCGCCGATGCAAGCCTGGCCGGTCCAGCATTTGGCAAACGCATGGCGGTGCTCCGAGGCGCCCCGGGCGGTTCTGGGCAGCCCGCCGCTCCGCCGGATTCGGTCGAAGCGGCCAAGGCGAGCATCGGATAATGGCGACTGATTTGGTGGCAGACCACCAATGGAGCCAACACTTCATTTTCGGAGCTCGGTCAGGCCGGCATTGGAACGACTCCTTATCAACAGGTTAAGCAGACCAAGCAGGCTTTTTCAGTGAACACTGCCAGTCTTAGTCTTCCCTTGGAAGCAGCTCGCGAAGAAGACCGGCCTGAAGAAATTCTCGTTGACGATCCCAGCGCCGACCCTGAGGGCGACGATGGAGTGCCCGCTCAGCCAGACTGGACACTGCCGATCAGTTGGCCGATCTCAAACTTGCCAATGACACCTCTGGTCGCCCCGGGGATCGAGATTTGTTTGACTTCTGAGACGGGGAAAGGCAAAACCTGAGGTAGCACGCTGCGTGGTGACAAACTTTAAATGCGACGAGTGCGATGCGCGCGAACGACCTCATCCTCGCCGTCCTGCTGCTGCTCCTAAGTTTTATCGCTTCAACCATGTCGTTGGTGCTGATTTGGTCGAGGTCAAGTACCCACCCGATGACGCAGCGCATTGTTTGATATATTTCATATGTTGATGTACCTCTTGTCAGTTTTTTTTTTTGACATGTGGGGACAGGGAAGTCAGCAGATGTAGTACGGCATGGATTAGTACGCGCATGGGCACGAGTGTTTGCATGCCAGAGGCTGTCGTAGCTGATCCAGGAAAGGAGCTCCAGGGAACGTTCGCTGATAACGTACAAAACAACGGCGCGTGCCTTTTTCCCCGCTGATGCCCGCCCACCATGGCGCAACGGTTTAATGGAACGTATAGGAAAAGAA